GTGTAACAACCAGCCACACAATTTACACAAAGAGTAAGAGAAACAAGAAATTAAGATGTTTCCTGCTTTTAAGAAGACTAAACTCTTCGCATGTCTAGATGTTTTCTAAAAAGTTTGAATAGTTATTTTTGTCTTAATCTTCCTATTTCATTGTGGCGTTTGCGATCGGTCGTTTCACTTTCAGTATTCGTTATAATCAATTAGCTTTTGTGCGTTCCTATTTGTAACAGCCGACACTGTACAAGCATTGTGTAGCATAACAGGTGTTAGTTTGTCAAAGGCGTCTTTGCCTGGCAAATCTCTATACTAACCTAAATATTTTATAAAAAGCTGGGGTTTTTAAAATGTCTTTATTCTCCAGCTGTTTCTGTAACTAGTGCGGTCGGTCATTACACTTTTAGTATTGATTATAATTTATTAGATGCATTACCTGTATTACCTGTCCTGGGCAACAACGTCATTGCACACCGGACAGGTCCATAAGTGGTCAGTTCCCCCCAGCACCAAAGCCGGCAAGGTATCCATACTGATTGTTCCGGTGGCTGTCTGATTATGGCGACGTCTTTCTTTTCCAGATAATCGTTCTTTTCTTCCTTCTCCCCTCTTTATCCCCATTTCCCGCATCCTAATGATTGCGTGGTATTCTGCTGTCTCCCTGTCTTCTTCATCCGCAACTTTTTCTCCAGGGTCTTCAACATTTCTCATTTGTCAAATTTCACCTCACCATCAACCACAGCACTGCCTGCCAGCCTATCAGCCTCCTCATTGCCTTTCACTCCAGAGTGCCCAGGACAGAATATCCACGTGATGGCTCTAAGTGATGAGTGTTGTATTGGGTTCATCCATCCACTCCGAAGAAGCCCTTTCTCAACCCATCGCAAGATGCTCTAGGAGTCTGTGACAATGATGAGATGAGTAGTTCTTGGTCTTGTATTATGAAGCCATTCAAGCGCTCTTGTTACGGCCTCAATCTCCATTTTCATACTTGAAGTTGTTCGTTCTATGGCCCCTGACATGCCATGAACCTTTTTGTTCCCACTGTACACCACAAAACCCCATCCGCTTCTCTCACCCCTCCTGACTGATCCATCCGTATAGATCACTGGGTCCTCTGGCTTGGAATGCTCCTCAATGAACTGTCGTATGTCATTGTCGTTAATGACAGCAGCACATTCCCGTCTTTCACGACCCATAGTGATATGAACATTGGCCAGGCTTCTGCAATCGGGGCTCAGTTCAAACCATTCCTTTCCACAGCATATTTCATCGATGCCACAAACTTTCCTCAAGGAGTCTTCGGCTTCTGCCATCCATGAGCTGCCCCGTTTGATCCTGTTTCCTTCGATGCTGCCCAGGTTGTCCTGCAAAGGGTGCCTCGGGTCTCCCAAAACATTCAAGTACAGCTTTGCCTGTGCCACCTTATGCCTCACTCTGAGGCTGGCCAGGTCAAGGATGTATCTCATACAGACAACATGGGTGTCCTTTGTGCAACCTAGAACGGCCCTCATAGCTGCTTTCTGTACTCTCTCCAACCTGTCTATCTGAGTCTTGGACAGAGAGAGGATGCCCAGCCCATAGTCTATGACTGACACAACCACCAGCTGCATTAGGAGTAAAAGAACTCTCTGTTGAATTCCCGCTGAAGCCAAGGTCTTCACTACATTTATGCCCTTCTGAGCCCTGACAGCAACATTGTCAATATGTCTTCGGAACGAAAGTGTCCTGTCCAGAGTGATTCCCAGGTACTTCAGCTCATGCTGTCTGTCTATGATTAAGTGGTCAAACACAATTGGAGGCGTAGGATCTTTCACAATACGGTTGTTGAGTGAGCACCAGATGACCTGTGCTTTGTCTGGATTGATCACCGCATTGTATTCCTCACACCAATCTGCAATATTAGATGTTGTGCATGCCAAGTCATAACAACCAATACTTAATTATGACTTCCCAAAGGTGATAGCTTTTCGTAGGCTTCTGTGCAAGACTAAATTCTTCACAAGCCTTGGTGGGTTCTTTTAATGTGGAATCATCTCCTTTTTTTCTCCTTGTGCTGTTGGTCGTTACACTTCCGGTATTGGTTATAATCATTTAGTTTTTGAGCAAGCCTAGTTGCAACAGCCGACACTTTATTGTGTTTCATTACAAGTGCTATAGCCTTTTCACAGGCTGCTTTGTCTGGCAAATCCCTATACCAATCTAAATGAGTTTCAAAATGCTGGAATTATTGTTTTCTTTGTCCTCCTACTATTTATGTAACCAGTGCGGTCGGTCGTTACACTTTTAGTATTGGTTATAATCTCAATTAGCTGTTGTGCGTACCAAGTTGTAACAACCAACACTTTATTGTGAATTACCACAGGTGATAGCTTTTCAAAAGCTTCTGTGCTCAACTAAACTCGTTACAAGCATACATGTGTTCTGAAAAGGTGGAATCATCTTTTTTTTTTACCTTCCTATTTTTTTAGTACAGTGTGCGGTCGCTCGTTACACTTTCGGCTGAGGTTATAATTTATAATTAGTTTTTGTGCGTGCCTACTTGTAACACGTTATTGTGTTTCATAACAGATGCTAGCATTTCACAAGTTGTTTTGCCTTGCAAATATATATAGCAGCCTAGATGTGTTCTGAAAAGCTGTTAATATTCTCATTTCTTTGTCCTCCTTTTATTTCTGTAATTAATGCGATCGGTATTTACACTTTTAGTGTTAGTTACGGTATAATCTCTTAGCTGTTATGCATGCCAAGTTGTAACAACCAACACTTTATGTGATTTACTAGTGAAGATAGCTTTTTATAGACTTATGTGCCCGGTTAAGCTCTAGATGTGTTCTAAAAAGGTGGAATCATCTTTTTAAAAAATAATCTTTCTACTGTTATGTGTAACGTGTGGGGTCGGTCGCTACACTCTCATTATTGGTTATAGTCTATTAATTTTTGTGCATGCCTAGTTGTAACAAAAACACTTTAATGTGTTTTGTAACTGGTGCTAGCATAAATTTCATAGGCTTTAATGCCCGGAAAAAACTCTATAAAAAGCTAGTTTTTTTCTGAGAAGCTTGAAGCATCTTTATTTATATTTTTTCTGTTAATTTCTCACTATGAACTTTTCATTTAATTAAACCATACAGAAAAACCAAGCGATGCTGTGGACTAATGTGAAAGCAACCAACTTGTATCCCGCGTGCTCTTAGACCTCTGGTAAGTTGCAAGCGCGCAAAACTTTCCAAACCAAACCAAATCATAAAAGAGTTAAATGACGGTTGAGGATTCACTCTCTGGCAGGGCAAGGAAAGTGTATTGTGTTTGCATGGTTACCTGGCCATGCAGGTACCCCAGAAAATCATCAGGTCAATCTTCTAGCGAAGGAATCTTTGCTTCTCCTGTTGGGATACACGGAGAACGAGCATCTTCCCACTGACTTTAAAAACAATGTCAATTTCTATACTTCTCGTCTGTGGGACGGGCAAGGGAGTGAATATGTAACTCCATAATAATATTATAATGCCAAAATTGGACCAATGAAAACCCTTGAGTCTCCGTAGAAGAAACGAAGTTATCTTTAAAAAATTACGAAACACGTCCTTGACGCATTAATATGACGGTCGTATGACCTTATGCAGGCATGCTTGCCCATCTATCAAAACAACGTATAGGTAATTAATACCCACTGCAAGAACCAAAAAAGAAACCATGAACTTTTGTGTCGGATGCGATACCGACTCTACGATTACACACACATCCTAATAGAAATCGAGAGACCCTCATTAAATACTTTCAATGCTTTTTTTCTTTCTTTAAAAAAAATAAAATTTAATGATCTCTATCGTTGATCACAACAGAATTCTCGATGTTATAAAGACCATTGGTCATTACTCCAACATGTAAAAAGAGTTAGGCCTGCTTAAAAATGTAAATTGCTGCTTTTAAGATTAATCAAGGAGGTTCTGTCCCCGTGGTTTTATTCACCACGCATAATAATAATTTAGCAAAATGTGATAATTTTTTGCACAATTTCTGATTATTTTCTGTATCATTCTTTGTTAAAATTAACAGAGTGGCATAATTTCGCATTTTTGGGATCAGTTTTCATAATTTCAATTTTTTTTAATACATAAAACCGCGGGGACAAGGTATAACAGTAATGTCCTTGAGATTAATGTATTTATAGAGGCACCAGCCATCCATGTTTGTGTGCTATTATAGTCGCGATGGTGCCGAGCTCAGGATCAAGCAAATATCCCAATATAGAGTACGTGGAGAGATCCGAAAGAAATTCAGAGCAACAATTTTTAGTCCGAAAACGGGTAAACTGAACAAAAATAAAGTTACATGTTCAGAACAAAAAGCTGTCTCTTCGATGAAATTCCAACAACGCAAACGTTGCGCCTGAACCCCCCCCCCCCCCCTCTTTGTTTTTTAAAATGCAGGCCTTCATTTCTCAATTTCATTTTCTCTCTCTCTCTCTCTCTCTCTCTCTCTCTCTCTCTCTCTCTCTCTCTCTCTCTCTCTCTCTCTCTCTCTCTCTCTCTCTCTCTATCTCTCTCTGTCTTTGTCTCTCTCTCCCTTTCTCTCTCTCTCTCTCTCTGTCTTTGTCTCTCTCTCCCTTTCTCTCTCTCTCTCCCTCACACACACACACACACACACACACACACACACACACACACACACACACACATACACACAAACATACACACATGAGCTCACACACACACACACTCACACACACAAATGCCTGTATCATAATCAAGAGGTATTATGAATAAAGGGAAATGAATTATACTAGGCTAGTTGAAACGCCAGCACCTTCTTCTATTCCCATAATCGACCCCAAAACAAACGAACAAACAAAATTAATACATGTATCTCAGTTAGCCTACCTTACATTTAAAAAAAAGTAAAATTAAGGAAGGGGAATAATAGAACTAAATGATATAAAATTAAAACAGAGTTGTGCTGAACGCTGAACGGCATAACAATGCAGGAGGCTTGCCTACGCATGGGGAGATCACTCTAATTTTATGTGCAGACCAAAGCGTTCGTTGGTCGCGGCAGCTCTGTGGGTCGGACAGTGCAGCCTAGCCTAACAATGGCGGTCAGTCTCATCAAAAAGCTTTCTACACGAGAGGTAGGCCATTATATTGACATTCTTTTGCATTGTCTTAGTGATTATGTGGATTTAACCACTATGCTAGATTCTTGTTTTAAGACAGCTGGCTTTTTTCCTTGTTGCTTTTGTGTGCCTAGATTCACCCATTCATCGGAGTAGCGACCAACCATATAAAAGAGCAAGAGTAACTCTCTACTAAACGGCACAGTGCATCTGCGGTGTCGGTGTGGACCAGCTGAGTGATGCCGATGGGCTGTTATGATCTAGATTCTAGGTCTGGTTCTAATCACTGGTGCTTATTTCATATGTCAGTTCTCAAGTGAGCTCTTTCAGGCAGAAGAACACACAAAGAGCAGTTACTTCTCAATGCTTTTATTTTGTTGTTCCATCTTTCTTCAGGCAAGAGTTATCTCTCCAACTCTGAGTCAGAAAACCTGAGATGAGAGTTGTTGTTTAGGCTAACACAGTTTAATTTATCTGATTATCCAGATCCAGTTTTGATGTTGATCTAGACTCTAGGTCTAGATCATATGCTTAAAAGGGATGACCTTAATTTGACTGATGAAGCTTTTTTGAGGTTGTTGCAACTGCCACTCCCACTGTTAGTGTTAGTGTTATTGCCCTCTGGACTATAAAAATAAAATTCACAAATTTTTATCGGGTTACTTATTGTCAGTCTCAATGATAATTATATCAGCACTTTTATTGGCCCTACTTGTGAGTACAAATGTGGTGTCATTGAGTCATTTATACTGAATGTGCTAATTGATGCACTGAATTTGTGCCTTTTGTACAGAGAGAGAGAGAGAGAGAGAGCATTCATGGGTCTCTGAGTCTCAATATTCTGCTATTTAGTGGATTCCCGCTACCCCCATTTTCTCCACCAAACATGTCATTCACGATAAGCAGAGGGTGTTGAAGAACAGTCACCGGCAAAGAGAGTTGTTGGGAGGGGGGGGGGGGGGGGGCACCTCCCAGTAATGCGCCACCACTTTCTGTACATAAAATCAAGAAAAATGTAAAAATATTAAGTGACTCTTTTACTTGAAATTATCTCCCAAATCCTCAAATCTGGTTTGAAATAACATTGCTCCAATATAAACTAATGGTTTTTGTTTTTGCATTCTAGGGTTAAACAGTAAATATAATACTGGGTGTCTCGTGAAAATGGGCTTCTGTCGCAATCACATGGAAAGTTCCTCCTTTTTTAAATTCTGAGTTGAGACCCATGGAGAGAGAGAGGGAGAGAGAGAGAGAGAGAGAGAGAGAAAGAGAGAGAGAGTGACAGGGAGAGAGTCAGAGAGTGACAGAGCGAGAGAGAGACAGACAGACAAACAGGCAGGCAGGCAGAGAAGTCGTACTAGAGTTTAAAAAGACACCCCCCACACACGCACATACACACACGCACTTATACACACGCCATGAGTCCTTGTCATGGGATCTGGCATTGTTATATTTATAAGTTAGTGAAACGAAAGCAGCGTTAGAGCATAAAAAGCGTCCTGTAATTTAATGAACTACTTAATTTATAAATTGTATATATAAAGCATGCATGTCCCCATTCAATTCATAAGCGTAATTGGTTTACAATTTGTATTATATGTGGGGCATCGTGATGAAATCAGGCGCTTGTCAAAATAGTAAAATCGAAGAAATCAGCATTTTTTGGCCTGATCAATTTCTATAGAATTTTTGTTTTTTGGTTTCAACACCGTTTAGATCCATTTAAATGTACACATTTATATGTGAATTTTACCGAAAAACATTGATTAAAGGCACAAAACATGTAAATTTGCAGTTTCCAAGGACTTCTTTATTAAGCTATGGAAGTCACTAAACTTTGGCGGCCATTTTCTCGCTAATTTTACCTCTAAAACGAGACAAACCCCACCTCCTTCAATTGCAAATATCCCGACTTCTTTTCAAGATGGATGGATATTTTTTTACCAAAAGGAAAGCAAATGAACAGGCTTTAAAATGATACGAATAACTCATATAATGTCCAAAAACTGACGAGCACCTGATTCCAATGTGTCACAACACATATTATATTACCTCAGTAGACACTAGGAGGCCACTCAGAAGTGTGGGTGGTTGGCAGGTTCTCAGGTGTGGTTTGCTCAGGACTTCTTTTCTATTGATACCTAACCTATCTCCTATCTCCTTCTCTCCTCCTTTTGTGTTTGTAACTCTCTTGTAGCACTTCTAACCTTAAGCATATATATATATATATTGCCGTAAAACTCTTACTGGCTAACTGAGTGCTCAAACATTGTTAACAGACTGACAAGATGTTTCACTGTCCATAGTCAGGTACCCATTTCCACCTAGATCAAGTGAAGAAAATACAATTTTGTTAACTGAATAACCTTGGGTGAAACTTGCCTGGTCCGTGAGTGGACAGTCCCAGTGGATGGTCCCAGTGGACGGTCCCAGCGGACGGTCCCAGCGTCCGATCAAAGCTCAGTACGTAGAATATTATTGCAAATACAATCTCTTACGAAACCGAAAACAAATTTATTCTGACTCAGAAATGTTAGATAAATGTATAAACTACTTACTTTCATTTTGACATGGTTTTAGCCATTTTATGAATACTTTGCATGGATCCCCCGTCACGTGTTTCACGAGATCTGGAAAAAATTCAGTCAAAACATGGAAAATAATTTTAGGGCTAAAGAGTTTTAAAGTGCCTTTCTAAAGGACACAACATGGGCCCCTGGCAGGGTTTAAACTCACGACCTTTCGATTGTGATCCCAACAGCCTAATCACTAGACCACAAATGCATCAGGTGTAACAATACAATATTCACAATGGCCCAGAATTTTACTTGTTGAATGGAAGACTCTTGATTGAAGGTAGCTCTTGGTGAGAGAGTATGAACTGAACTCCTGTGCCCAGCCTAGTGCATTTTATGCCTGAGCAGGTGTCATAAGTAGTTAAACAAGAGAGTCAAGATGCACACACACATGCACTGAAATTGTAGGTCAACCGCAGTGATCACACAATTTTTGAGTAATCCAAAAAAATAAACAAACTCGTAAGAGAAAAAGATTGCAGTTAAAGACATTACTAAAGCTTAGGTAAATTAGGTTGTTATTAGACAGAGGTTGCTATTTTATCTGGGTCACTGTTAGTGAACACCACTGTACCTATAGTCACAGACAGATGAAGACAGTTAGTTCTTTTTCTTTGCCATTGGTGCATTAAAGGTCTTAGTTCTGCTGTGGGGTATACATTACATAAATTTAAAGTATGTTAACATTTATTCTTTAGAAAGAGTGTGTTTTGTGCCTTTATAGTTGTGTTGTCCCAAAATTATGAGCCTGATAGGGCCTATGAAATAACCTAAAACAAAGAGAAAGATAGATCTGGTTTCTCTAGGTGAATGATTTTCAGGGACAGTCATGGACAGAGAGGAAAATAATGTGTCCTTGTCTCACCAAATAAATGTCTTGTGGTGCTTAGGGGAATTAAAGTTGTAGGACAAAAGTTTTTGTAAAGTCTATTGAGCGTTTATATGCACAGATGCCTGGCCATTGTTGTTGGATGCCATACAAAAGTAGGCTATGCCCTTTACACATCATTTCCCAGACAAACTCAACATTCTTATATTCTCAGCTTTCAGGTACTCACAGGCACTCAAATACTACATTATAACAAGGTCCTTCACTGTCTTACCTGACTTCTCTTTCCTTCTTCAAGTGAGGAAAATAATGTATGTAAAGCATCTTTCTCAAGGACTATCCTCTCCCTGACCAGGATTCAAGATTTGAACCTCTTACTTAATGATTGAGAGTCCGGTAGACTGTACGATAGCCGTAATTTCTCCTTAGTCTTTTGGGTGACCCATCAAATTTAGAAGCTTTAACCCTCTTTCTATGACAGAGATCAACTGAAAGACGGTCATGTTGACTGCATGTGACTTTCTCACAAAAACAGTGCCCACAGCATTTGTCTCTATCAATGGTTTGTTTCTTTGCAGCTTTGTCCTTTTTTCCTTTGAAGATTAATAATTGAATATTTAAATATTACTATAATTATTACTTGTGATCTTTTACAGTTGACTGGCCGTTTTGCACTACGCCGATGTGATGTACCATGGAAACCATTCACAAAAATACCTGGACGCATGTGCTATCGCTTGAGATACCTTGTACCTTCCTGCATTCTGGAAGAAGGGTTTGTGTGCAGTTTTGTTTCATTACTGTCTTTCCATCAAATTACTGATCATCCCTTACTATATAAGCTTAATATCTTTAAAAAAAAACAGTCTTCTTTAGTATTGTATAAAGCCTCAATTGTCAAACACAGCCTGCGCAAGAGACTCACTCACATCACAGACTTTCTCTGTTTATCCCTCTTCCTAGATGACTTCCACCCCTTGGTGTCAAACATTCGGTCAGTGAGAGCAATGGATTGCCATCTGGAGCACATGAACAGTGCAATTATGAGATTCTTTTTTACATCATGTATTTGTCAGAATGAAGTCTGGTGTTGTGACTTGTTTGCATGTAAAATGGGAAACAAAATAAATGTTATTATGTAGAGGTATGTTTCATGTAGTTACCTCAATGCATTGTTGTCCTCGTCTTTGGCATTGAACTTATTTTTCAGAAACAAAATGATACAGAAATAAGATAATACTGTTTTTTCCCCCCCTGTTATCTTCTTTATTTTCACTAGAAGAATAGTTACTATTCTTTGTTTTCTAATCCCGTATTTACGTATTAGTTGTGTCTAAAGTCTATATAAGCTGCTTTTTTCTTTCCAAATGCAACTTAATAAATTTTCTAGTATTTTCACAAAATCCCAGTGGTATCTTTAAAATAATAGAGTGGAGGCACAAAGGCATCATTCTACAATCGCTTTACTATTTGACATTTATGAGGCATAATGGTGAAATCAGGCGCTCGTCAAAATAATAAAATTGAAGAAACAGGCACTTTTCTGCCAGTTTGGCAATCTTTATGGAAATTCTACTTATTGGCTCAACACCTTTTATGTCTGTACAGCAAAACATTTCCATGTGAATTTTATTTAAAAACGTTGATTAAAGGCACAAAAAATGTAAATTTTCACTTTTTAAGGACTGTCAAGCCTTTGAAGTTACCAGACTTTGGCGGCCATTTTCTTGCTAATTTTACCTCCGAAACCGGGTGACTTCCAACTTCTTCAATCGCAAATGTCTCGACTTCTATTCAAGATAAATGGGCATTTTTTCCCAAAAGGCAAATGGACACATTTTAAGATGATACCAGTAACTCCACATGCCCAAAAATTGATGAGCACCTGATTCCACCGCTTCGTGACACATTTTATTGTTTTTTAAATATTTTTTTTACAGCTATGTGTTTCTGGGCTTCAGCAAGTCTGGTCACTTTGTGCTGTCGTATTCTCTACAAATTGGTGCTGATGAACATTCAGCCTACCCAGATCACGTGTACAGACTGCAGTGGTGGCTGTTCATTCCATGCAAGAGGCTGCAACTGGTATTTTGCAACTTTTTTCCCTTTTGTTTTCTAGTTGTTGTTTTTTTTAAAAATGTTTTTTTTTCTTTCTCTCAAAAACAAGTTTTAATTATGCAAGTTAAGAAAATCACAAGCTTCTTGGCGTGCGGGTGTTTGTCAGAATGAATAATTTTTGTTCATGCAAACAGACAACCCTCTTGGCCAAAAGAAAGAAATGGAGTAACACAGTTGCAGACCTTAACCTATGTAGAAACGGAGCCAAAGCATGGTCACTTCTTTCCAACTTGTGTGGAGAAAAACGCTGAAACAACCCAAAACCCATGGACACAGAGGAAGGCACCATCGTAGAAGACCAAAAAAAAGGCAGAAACCTTCAACAAGTTCTTTGCTTCTATAAACAAAGCTACACCCCACACTGACCAACATAGAGACGGTCTGAAAAAACTGAATGAGAAAGAGCATGTGCCAAGTGCAAGTTTCTCTCTCTTTCAAGACTTCACACTCACTGAGCTCCACAGGGCAGTGAAGAAACTGAAGCCCTGCAAATCCCCAGGACCAGATAAGATCCACAATGAAATGCTTGTCATCCTCAGTCCCGTTGGTAAGGGTTATATTTTCCAGCTAATCAACAAGACATGGAATGAAAACACCATCCCTAGAGCATGGAGAAACGCCATCATCACACCCATTCTCAAGAAAGGAAAACCTGCTGAAGAAATTAAAAGCTATCAACCCATTTCACTCACCTCATGCATCGGGAAACTAGCAGAGAGGATGGTCAACCACTGCCTATACTGGTGGTTGGAAACAACTGGTGCCTTGGACAGCAACCAAGCAGGATTTCATGCAGGCCAGCGAACATGACCAGCTCTTCAGGCTCAGTCAGAAAGTCCTTGATGGCTTCCAGGAAAAGAAGCATACAGTAGCAGTATTCGTTGATCTCCAGCAAGCTTAAAACAAGGTATGTGGAGAAAAGGCCTCTTGTGGAAGATGACATAGACAGGAATCCATGGGAAACTCTACAGATGGGTGAAGTGAAGACCTTCCTTACAGACCGGACAATCCAGACCAGGATGAACAACAGTGTGTCATCCAAAGTTGTACTGGAGGAGGGCCTACCCCGGGGTTCCTCTCTGAGCTGCGCACTCTTCCTTGTTTTCTTCAATGACCTGCCTGAGACATTGAAACTGGAGACAGCTCTATATGCCGACGACCTAGCCATCTAGCATTCAAGTAAACAAGCTGGCATCGGTGCACAACTTATAAATGAGGACCTAGATAGAATCAACAACTATTGCTGCTAGTGGAAACTAAAAGTGAATTGTACCAAGACAATCTACACCGTCTTTACACAAAGTCACAAAGAAAAAGGAAAAAGATTAATAAAGCATGTCACATAGGGCAGGGCCCTGGTATGGTGGTATTGTATTTCCATGCCAGTGATAGCTTATAAATAGCTTGACTTCTGTTTGCTGTTTAGCGTCATCATATTCTCTGTCAACTGCATCTGAACTGGAAATTTCTCTACATCATATAATGCATGTACTTCAAATGGGATGAAATAAGTTCTAATTTTGATAGTGTTCCACCTCCACCCCCACTCTCTCCCCCTCCCTCCACACCCCCC